GGGGGGGGGGGGGGGGGGGCATTGTCCCCAGGCAGGATGAATTTGGGTCAGTGTCTGTGTGCCCCAGCAGTAGCCCGTTAGCCTGTTAGCCTGTTAGCCTGTTAGCCCGTTAGCCTGTTTCCCACCACCAGCCTGAATGCAGCCGGGTTGGTTCTGAGTGGGAGCCTCATCGTTCCTCCTCCTCTTCCTCCTCTTCCTCCTCCTCTTCCTCCTCAGGGCGGTGGGGAAGACCTGCCTGCTGATCAGCTACACCACCAATGCCTTCCCTGGTGAATACATCCCCACTGTGTGAGTAAAGCCTTCTTTCTGCCGCAGGGCCCTAAAGCCAGGCTGCAGAGCAGCTCCTAACTCTGGCACCCTCTCACAGGGTGTCAGCTACTCTGTGATTCAGGTGTTTCAGAGTGGTGGCTTTTTCATTCTTCAGGTTTCTAACTTGTCCTACAGCAGATTAGCCGGCTGAATAGATCCCTGTGTGAATGGGATGTCTTGAAATGGCATTCTAAACCCTGAAAACAGTGTCCGTTGGTTTCCTGGAGCTCTTTAACTCCACTGTTAGTGTGGTAGGAGCTCTAAATGCGGGCAGCCTGCTGACACGGGCCACTGCAGATCAAAGAGCTGCTTCATCCTGTGATTTGATGTAATCTCTAGGTGGTTATTGGTTGATTAGTTATCTAAATGAACCAGCAGTTTTGAGCAGAAATGAGGTTAATCCTAATCCTAATTTGTCTGTGACCCTGACCAACAACAACATCTGTAAACATGGCAAAGGAGAAGTGTGCTTCAGACGTGTGATGCTGCTGATAACCTGTGTTTATTAAGTGTGATGTCTTTCCAGCTTTGACAACTACTCTGCCAACGTGATGGTGGATGGGAAGCCGGTGAATCTGGGCCTGTGGGACACAGCCGGGCAGGAGGACTACGATAGGCTCAGACCACTGTCTTACCCACAGACGGTATTCACACTCCATCCCTGTCACCACACGCCCTCACTCCCAACACGCCAGACCACAGGCCTGCTAACCGGGGGGGGGGGCTCACAGACATGAAATCATACGTGCACATTCACTCTGAAGGTAATGGAGCTGTGCAGCTTAAGAAACTTGGTTATTCCGGTAAAGAGAGCTGAGGGCTGAGACTCCTGTGACCCGGTTGATTCAAAGCCTTGATGAAACCGCAGCTGGTATCTCTTAAATCCACCAGGATGCTCCGGATCCATCTCACCAGACCTATTGGACCAATAGGATTTTCTACAGATGAAAGTTTCACATAGCCTTTAGCTCTGCCTCATTTCTCTCATTCATTCTTTTTTAAATCTGTTTTTCATGTATATTTTCTTGATGTGGTACATTTCCAGATGAACTGCAGGTGTCCCATGCTCTTAGCTTATAGACATACGTGTGAATCTGCATACACATATGAAATATGTGAAAAGATAAAGTCAACTGTATGGAAAAAATATTCCATTTAAAAAGAACATTTTCAATGAGCAGACACTAAACCCACGCACTGTATTCAACAGGTTTTCAGACCTAACAACTTTTTAAAAAGACTAGAAACCCATCTGTCCACTGTTTCTGCATCACTGAGGATACAGCACCCTCCTCAGAGGGCAGCGGGGGGGTTCAGGCACAGCCTCAGCCTAACATGTTTAGAGTGCTGTTTACTGGCTGTTGTCCTGCTACGACTCCTCTGTCCTGCCGCTGGGGTCCAGGTGCATGGTCACTGTGGACAGCCCGGGGCTCCACCTCCCTCTGAGGAGTTGCACCAGCACCCACACAGGCCTCCCTCTCAACCCGCCATGTTTCTGATTCTCTCCCAGGATGTGTTCTTGATATGCTTCTCCCTGGTCAGTCCGGCCTCCTTTGAGAACGTCCGAGCTAAGGTCAGTAGCTGACTGACCACTCACCACCTCCCCCTGTCCCCCTCCCCGCCGAGTCTGACCACTAGGAGGCACATCTCTGGCTCCACCTGGCTTCTGACGCGTCTGCTCCACTGGTTCAGGCCTCGGCTTAGAGTGGTCTGGGTGTGACCCCCCCTCAGAGAGGCGGGACAGAGACCCATTGTAAACCGAGGCCTGAAGGTGTGCAGGCACTCTGTGGAGGGGGGGGGGGCCCGCTGTGATTTGATCTGCTGAGCATCATAAGATGCTTTCCAGTGAAATCACATTTTCCAGAGGGCCCTGCCCCCCCCCCTGCAGAGCCTCCATGTTTGTGCTGTGAGGGACTCTCAGTATGTGATCCGGTCTATGAAAGCGTACCTCCACCCCTGGTCTCAGCATCAGTTGTGGTGAGGGGCACACTGCTCTGTTTCCCCCGCTGACCTCTGCTGTCCTCTCCACCCATGTCTGCCTCTGTGGCCTGCTGTGGCCTCAGTGGTACCCTGAGGTCAGACACCACTGCCCAAACACGCCCATCATCCTGGTGGGAACCAAGCTGGATCTGAGAGATGACAAGGACACCATCGAGAGGCTGCGGGACAAGAAGCTGTCCCCCATCACCTACCCCCAGGGCCTGGCTATGGCCAGAGAGATCGGTGAGGCCCACTCCACACAGAACTAGCCCCTGTAGAATCACACACATTCACTCAGATAAGAAGGGAAGGGATGTCATGTTGGGGTCTATATTTCTAGCCCACATGCAGAGCACAACT